CCCCCACCCAGTCACATGACAACCCCCTCCCCACGCCTACCCAGTTTTTGTGGCTCTCGGTGTTTTCTGTGGGAAATGGGTCTCTCTCTATCCCTCTCTCCCTCTCATTTCTGTTTTTTTTTTGTGTGTGTGTGTTTTACCTTCTCAGGCCAGGCGAGGAGACTGGGAGGGGAGGGGAGGGCGAGGGGCAGGGCCAGCCAGTGGTGGGATCACCCAATAGGGAGCCACAGCAGAGGGCCCAAAGAGCCGCATGCGGCTCCAGAGTCGCAGGTTGCTGACACCCGCACTAAGAGCTCCTTCTTATCAGATGACTTGGGACATGCTCTATTTCCAAATTTCATGCTAAAAGTTAAGTTAGATTCTGAGTTTTTGAATCCATAGCTAGCTTTTTTTTATAAGAGGCCAGAATCCTGGCAAGTTATTTTTTTCTTAAAGATTTTTTTGGCAGCATAGAGAAATAGAGAACTCCTTCAATCATACTTGAATGATTACTGTAAAAGAGTTTAGAGTACACAGCAAGCATTGTCCTTATACTGAATTGGCTTTATTGAATTTTAGCAACATCATAATGAATCAAAGCTGCGGATTTATTCAATACTTATCAGAGTTTGCTGAGTTTACTAATGTAACCACAGCACCGCAATTGTCATTGCTCTCAATGATGTCATCACATTGAGAAATATATATATATATATATTTCTTTTATATATGCCTGGGATCATACTTGTGAATAGTCTTAGGGAGAAACCAAATGCAGGCAGTCCTTGACTTACGACCACAATTGAGCTCAACATTAATGTTGCTATGTGAGACATTTGGTTTACCCCATTTTATGACCTTCCTTGCTGCCACTGTTGTTAAGTGAATTGCTGCAGTTGTTAAGTTAGTGACACCGTTGCTAAGTGAACCTGGCTTCTCCTTTGACTTTGCTCGTCAGCAGGTCGCTAAAGGTTGACCTCATATGACCTCAGGACACTGCAACCATCATAAATACGATTCAGTTGCCAAGCATCTGAATTTTGATGATGTGAGCATCCATCGGCATGCTGCAATGGTCATAAGAGTAAAAAAACTGTCATAAGTCACTTTTTTTCAGGGCCGTTGGAACTTTGAATGTGCACTAAACGAATTGTTGTAAGTCAAAGACTACGTGCACAATGTGAGTCAGGTTTAGGGAAGTATCAGAGATGGTATTCAGCAGGTTCTGACCAGTTCTGGAGAACCGGTAGTGGGAATTTTGAGTTGTTCGGAGAACCGGCCAATACCACCTCTGACTGGCCCCAACCCCATCTATTCTCTGCCTCCCATTGAGTCCCAGCTAATCATTGGCTGGGTCTTCTTTGGTTGCCTTGCACAGGAGAATGGAGCTGGAAAGCAGGTTAATGGGGTGGGGAGGGAATGGGGACTTTGCAGTAACCTTCCCCTGCCACACCCACTAAGCAACACCACGCCCACCAAGCCACGCTCACAGAACTGGTAGTAAAAAAAATTTTAATCCTACCACTGAGAGGTATGGAGTCAAAACAAAAACAATTTGAGAAAACAGTGGCAATAAATAGTGAAAAAGATGAGCAATTACATCATTTAGAACAGTGTTTTTCAACCTTGGCCCTTTTAAAATGTCTCGTCTTCAATTTCCAGAATTCCCCAGCCAGCAATGTTGGAGGGAATTCTCCATGATGGCTGGGGAATTCTGGGAGTTAGAGTCCACGCATCATAAAGTGGCCAAAACTCTCATTTAGGGGCTTAAGAAAAGATATTTCAGGAAGGATAACCCTGAAAGTCATACTTTGCACCATAAGGAGAACATATTTGATTAAATCCCCTTCCTTCTACTACCCTCAATTAATAACCTTCATTTCTAACAACCATAACAAGAACTTTAAATGCTCAGATGTGCATCTCTAAAAACGGTAGCTGGGAATATTTTGACTTGGCATTAAAAAAAACTTTTCACGTTTCAAATGCTTCCACTGTCTATTCAGCGTCATAAAAAAAAAATCTCACTCTTTTGTGTCTTAAAAAAAAAAGACCAGGTTTTTTTTAAAAAAGCATCATTTTCAAGTGAGCAAACACAAATGGAAAGAGTATGTTATGGTTCTCTCACATTAACACTTGCCCCATCTGAGCAGTGGGTACACAAACGATTGGAGGTGTCTTGATTTACCACACAGTTCTGGTTTCACTGAGCTACACTTTCCCTTAGGTGTTTTAGACTTCTTCCTACATGTTGCTAAATAAATATTTCATTATGACGCTTTCTTTGGATGCTGAAATGAATGGTGGGGAATGCCTATGGACAGAAATTGATATAGGTCCAAATCTGAGAAGAAATACCCTTTTTAAAAATGTCTCTGTCAACCCTGAAGCTGCCCTGATGGAGGCCATTTTGAGGCTCCAGCGTTGCCACACTGGAGCTGAGGGATAGGGAGAAGGGAATAGAGATAGCTGGGGCTTTCTAGCCAAAGCAAAATACTTTCTCTTGGGAACCAAGGACATTCCCACAGGTGGTCGGAGTGAGGAGGAGTGACATTACCAGGCAACCGGACAGAATCCTAATTGGACCATATGACTGATGGTTTGGGGAAAGGAGAAAACTTTCACTTTTAATTAGGTGAAAACCGCGGAAACATTCAGAGTCAGTTTTCACCAGCTTGTGCCAATATGATATATTAAAATAAACTATTCTTTGAGGAATCTACCTGCCTCAGAGTTTTGTTCTTTATGGGCAGTGGTGGGATTCAAAAATTTTTACTACTGGTTCTGTGGGCATGGCGTGGTGGGCGTGGCTTGGTGGATGGGGCAGGGCAAAGTTACTGCAAAATCTCCATTCTCTCCCCACCCCACTAACCTGCTTTCCAGCTCCATTCTCCTGTGCAGGGCATCCAAAGAAGACCCAGCCAATCAGCTGGGACTCGGGAGGCAGAGAATAGATGGTGGCAGGGCCTGTCAGAGGGGATATTTCCTGGTTTTCCGAACCACTCAAAATTTCTGCTCCTGGTTCTCTGAACTACTCAAAATTTCCTTTACTGGTTGTCCAGAACTGGTCAGAACCTGCTGAATACCACCTCTGGTTATGGGTGTATTACTTGGAAATCCTGACAGTCTCTCCCAAAAAGCCAAGAAGTTGCTCGTAAATATTATCAGCTTTTCTAGTTTAATGCATATAAGAGCTCCGAGCACATTCTTTTGATTTCATTAATCCAAGTTATTAGTGTTTGTTTGCATGTGTGAAGATAGGATAGTACATCATATTATGGTTCGATAATCTATTCCCGAAACCACCTGCAAAACCTGTACCTACCTGGGTGGAGGGTTTGAATCTGAGTGGCGTTCCCAGCTTGGGATCCCAGATAAGGCACTATTTGGAAAGCATAAGCCGTTTGGGGCTGCAATCCTATAACAGTTGTGGATCGGTTGGTAGCTCCTAGCACTTCCACCGTACTCCATTCCTCAGCAGAACGACGTTGTTTTGGACCTCGCATCTGAATCATGAAACTGGTCACCACTGACTTGTTTGGGACCGTCCAAGTTAGAGAGGCAGTGCCTGGTTGGGGTCCTTTTGCCAAAGTCCATTCAGAGATTGAGGGGCCTGCCAAGAGAAGCAAACTCACATAGATATGAAATGCAAGCAATTACACCTTCCCCAAGTTAAAACCTATCATGTGTCGGCTTACAAATGCATGATGAGAGCACGATGTAATGGCACAAGGGAATGACCTTGGGAGACGGATGAAGAAATATCAGATAAGAGACAGCACATCCGACAGCTGCATAATGGGAAGAGCAAGAGCTTAGGAGCCCCCCCCTCCCCCTAAGTTACTGGACTACAAGGGTGACGGTGGGAGAACTGTACTTTCAGCCTGGTAAGATTCTGTTAATGCATCTTTTTAGTAAACTAGAATTAGCTTACATTTCCTGTTTGATTTACCCGGGAAGGGCTGGTATCCAGCGCAACAGTTTGCAAATGTATTAATTAATAACATACTAGTGAATGTGTTGGAATCAGGGAGGTCCGAGTTCAAGTTCTCATTAGATAAGTTTACGCCCTTCTCCAGTCCTGCTCGCTTTGCAAATGAATTGTGAGGGCAACCCCTTTGTGCTCCATGCTGAGCTTCCCAAAAAACAAGGAGAAGACTGGAGAAGACCCCAAACTGGCAACTTTAGTTCTGAATTCATACTCACTGTCATTGCACCCATATGCAACGTCTAATTCTAGACGCCTCGTTTCAAGAATTAAACATCCTGACTATGGTTGTTGTCTCCCACCCCCAAGTATCCCTTCCTATCCTGTCATCCTGCTTTACAACAGAGAGCAGAGAGTTTAATACTAGGGCCTTATCAGGGATGGGATCCAAAAATCCCAGCAACTGGTTCGCTGCCCGGTTGCTGGGTGGGTGTGGCTATGGTGGGTGTGGCCTAGCAGAGCTTCCAGGGTGGGCTTTTTTGCCTTCCCCAGGGTCCGGAGGCTTCCCTTGGACCTCTGGGAGGGTGAAAATGGCCTCCCCCGGGCTCCCGAGGCCACCAGAAGCCAGAAACAGCCCTGTTTCCAAACTTCCAGAACTTCTGGTTTGGCCCATTTTTCACGCTCCAGAGCCTCTGAGCATGCCCTGCACTTACCTATATCCAAAACAGGCCACGTGGAGACTCCTGGGAGGGGGTGGGGGCAGGGCCAGCCAGTTGGTTCAACTACCGGTTTGGCAAATCAGATGTAAATTTAACATTCAGTTCACCCGAACTGGTCTGAACTGGTAGAATCCCACCCCTTGGGCCTTATTCAAAACCATAGATTTGATGAGAAAGATAGGAACTATAGTTTGACATCAACTAAAGTGATATTCCATATAAGTACAGATAAGTCCACAACTTTGTTCAGCAACCATTCAAAGTTACAACACCCCTAGAAAAAAAGGGATGCCTGGTCCTCGCACTTATGACCCTCTTAGCATCCCTATGGTCACGTGATCAAAATTCAGACGCTTGGCAAACCGGTGTGTATTTATGACAGTTGCAGCAATCCCTGGGGTCTTGTAACTTTCCCAGCCACCTTTGACAAGCAAAGTCATTGGGGGGGAAACAACTGAAAAATGATTCACTTAACCACGGGAGTGATTTGCTTAACAACCGTGGCCAAAAAAAAAACAGTTGCAAAATCTGGCGCGACTCGCTTAACAACTGCCTTGCTTAGAAATGGAAATTCAGGACTCCATTGTGGTCATAAATCGAACACAATGTGTACTAATATAACCAGAGGTGGCATTCAGCAGGTTCTGACCAGTTCTGGAGAACCGGCAGCGGAAATTTTGAGTAGTTTGGAGAATCGCCCAATACCACATCTGACTGGCCCAGCCAACCCCATCTATTTTCTGCCTACAGAGTCCCAGGTGATCGGCTGGGTCTTCTTTGGTTGCCCTGCACAGGAGAATGGAGCTGGAAAGCAGGTTAGTGGGGTGAGGAGGGAAAGGGGATTTTGCAGTATTCTTCCCCTGCCATGTCCACCAAGCCACACCCACCAAGCCACGTCCCCAGAACTGGTAGTAGAAATTTTTGAATCCCACCACTGAATATCACTTTTTCTAGTACTGTCTGTCTTCGTGCGGGGGATAGCTCACCAATAATAGTGAGGTTAGTTCGTTGTGTTCCCAGTGGATTGGAGCAGACGGTGCTGTAATCTCCCAGATCCTGGGGAGCAGTGAAATTCCAGATGGTGAGATGCATTTGATCAGGACTGAGCCTATAATGGCTTCCGGCAGGAATCAGTGAGCGCTTATCTCTAAACCATTCAATTTCCACAGGATTGAAGGTGCCCTGGCAACGCAGCTGCATAGTCACTCCCCCTTTGGGGTCACTGGATGCCTGGAATGACAATGTAACCCCCGAGGGGGCTTCTGGAGAAAAGGAAGAGAAAGACACAGATGAAAAAGACATGGTCTCAACGTCTGAATTGTGACACCGTGGGGAGTTAAATGTTGCATCCACACCTAGCAGGCTAGATCACGTCTGAAGAGCGGGACTGGGGTCTTTGTTTTGTTTTATGGAATGGTTCGTTTCAAGGGGTTTTCTGTTTTACGATTGTCCCTTGCCTCTTTTGCCTTTATTTTCTTCCAAGGTTTTTCAGGCCAACAAATGTGAGGATTTGTCCCTTCATAACCACAACTTTTTGAATTAGATCAGGATGAAGGACTAATTACTTCAGATGCATGGGGGAT